TCTTGTTACTTCTCTAAAACTGTATTTAAAAAATTTAAAAATATTCAGTTGCAATAATGATTATCTTTTGACGACTTATCAATTGTTGGTACCTATGGTTTGAAATGCCCTATTAAGCATAGATAAAATTCAGCAGCACCTAAATAAGACAGTCTTGGACACTTATTGACAGGATGTTTTAAAACAAACAAAAGGCTAAGGTAAAGCCAAGATTTTAACTTTTTAAAACTTTGTTCCCTTTTCTCTGCAATACAGCTTATTACAACATAATACTGGGACTTACAAAAAATGCTAAATAGTTAAATATTAAGTAAAATTTTGCAAGGTTTGCATGAATTACTCTCTTTATTATCCTGCTTTCATAGAGAAGTGTCTGTGATAAGACTATATGAGACTTTACTTCAAATCCAAAATTATATCCTTTCAGCATTGTTTCTCTGTATAAGTTAAGGAGATGGTTTCTCTCATTGTCGTCAAAATTTGCCATGTCTTCACAGTAAAACTTGTCATCCACTTGCTTTATGGCTTGAACAACTCTTTCTTGAAGCTCCATTGCAGACCCCTAAAATTTACAAAAGAGATTCATACAAGTACATGTACCTTGCTTCTGCAGTACATTCTATATAAACTGTAAATTAGGTAAAACAAGACATCATATAGAACGATGAGTAATACTGTAAAATGAGAAAATTTTGGACATACATATTTCAGTGGAAATGTATGTGGGAATGCATTGGCGCCTGTGCTTGCTTGTCATTAAAATATATAAATGTGATATTTTTTTCCTTTGGTCTATGCCTGTATTTGATTTTGAAGTCACTCAAGCATGCATGCGCAATAGCATTGATTTCTAACTCACCTACACAGGTAAAATTTTGAGGTGTTGGAAGCACATGGACGTGGAACAATGTCAATTTTGAACTTTTTTAAATAAAAGAAAACATGAATGTACTTCAATAATTGATTGGAGGCGATCATTGCAATTTATTCATATTAGAACCATGCAAAAGATACTTGGATAACTGGTAAACATTATCAGGTATTATATATCTGCAAGGTCGAGACCACGCCCTTTGCCCTAATAAACAGTGCAAATCTTAATCTCAAACATATTCTGATCCTTGTACATGTATGTAAAATTGGTGAAAATCTGCATGGTGGCTCTGGAGAAGAAGATTTTTTAGCAACCAGTACTTTGGTTTTATTTTCCTGATTATCTCCCCTTGTTTAAGGGTCCCAACCCTAGTTTAAAAAAAAAGTGGTAGCCCTTTAGCCAAGGATACCCTGTGACAAATTTGACAATAATTGGCCAATGAGTTCTTGAGTTCTGGCCCATATTCTAACAAGAGGCCCATTGGCCTTATAGGTCACCTGAGCATCATGCAACAATTTCAAGTGATTGAATTTGCTTCATGTTTTTAGCTAGATGCTATTGCATTCACAATTTTGAAAGAGGCACCATTGCTCATCATAACTACATGTATACACTTTTTTTCAACATTTATTTCCCAGACTTATACACTTAGCAATTGCTTAATTTGGTTACTTAATATCCATAGGCAGGGTAGGGGAACAAAAATGCATTTCAACTAACCAGTAATATTCAGCAATAATTAGTTGTGCCCCTAACATTGTGACATAAACCCCTGACCCTAGGCCCACACATTGCACAATTTATAAAAAGGCACCCTTGCTTATCAAAAAATAATGTTTGAGTAAGACAAAGGAGCAGATTTCAAATACAGTAATTAATTCATTTTCAGTATATACATGTAAGTGGAGCCCCCCCCAGTACCGCTGACCCTGGGGCCTTGAAATTCACAATTCTGGACAAAGGGCCCTTGCTCATCATAACTATATAGGTAGTTCATCTGCTTAATACCCAGGGAGAGCAGAGAAGAAAATTTTCAAAGATTTAATATATTTTCACTACAGAATCATTTAGAGCCCCGGCCTACCACCAGAACCCCTGACCCTGGAGCCATGAAATTCACAATTTTGGTAGAAGCATTCTTGCTTATCATAACTTTGTACTTAATTAGTTTTTTTAATACCCAGGAGCAGAGAAGAAGATTTTCAAAGAATTAATTCATTTTCACTATGTAATCAATAGATCCCCCCAACACTAGAACCCCAGACCCTGGGGCCATGAAATTCACAATTTTGGAAGAGGCATTCTTCCCGATCATAACTATGTACTTATTTAGTTTATATATAATCAATAGAGTCCCACCCTAACACCAGAACCCCTGACCCTGGGGCGATGAAATTTACAATTCTGGAAGAGGCATTCTTCCCCATCATAACTATGTACTTATTTAGTTTATATATAATCAATAGAGCACCACCCTAACACCAGAACCCCTGACCCTGGGGCCATGAAATTTACAATTTTGGAAGAGGCACTCTTGCCCATCATAACTATGTACTTAGTTAGTTTATTTAATACCCAGGAGCAGAGAAGAAAACTTTCAAATAATTAATGCATTTTCACTATATAATCAATAGAACCCCGCCCTAAAACAAAAATCCCTGACCCTTGGGCTATAAAATTCACAATTTTGGAAGAGGCACTCTTCCCCATCATAAATATGTACTTATTTAGTTTATTTAATACCCAGCAGCAGTAATCAATAGAACCCCGCCCTAACACCAGAACCCCTGACCCTGGGGCCATAAAATTCACAATTTTGCAAGAGGCAGCCTTATTCATCATAACTATGTACTTGGTATGTTTATTTAATGCCCAGGAGCAGAGAAGAAGATTTTCAAAGAAATAATGCATTTTCACTATATGATCTATATAGCCCCACTCTAGCACTAGAACCCCTGACCCCGGGGCCATGAATTTCACAATTTGGGTATAGGACTCCATGCTGATTACAATCATGCAAACTGCTAGATGTCCAGGAGTAAAGAAGAAAATTTTTAAATATTGCATTAATTTAAGTGGTTTTGGCCCCACCCCTCAGGCCCCAGGGGGGCAGGGACCATGAAATTCACAATTTTTGTTTCCCTTCACCCATAGATGCTTTATGCCAAAATTGGTTGAAATTGGTTGAGTGGTTTCAGAGAAGAAGCTGAAAATGTTCAAATGTTAACACACGACGACGGACGAAAACGGATAGCAATAGAAGTTTACACACACCGCACATATGGCCATAACATAGCTCTTCGAGCCTTTGGCTCAGAAGAGCTAAAAATACAGCAACCCTTTGACATTATGTAATTGTGCCTTCTGCTTTACATATGTACATAAGTAATACCTTAAATCTGGAAATTTTTATGTCGATTTTATTTTGCAAATCTGGGTCAAAATACTGTTGATTAATTTTTACGTTTCAAAATTTTGCGAATGACCACTACTTTGTTGATATTTTCTTATTGTTTTATTGTTAAATTATTTTTAAGAAAAATATTTTTGCGAATGCAATGAACTCGCAAATTTGCTAAAAATTTATCTACAGCAAAAATTTCCAGATTTACGGTATATTGATTTGAACACAAAAAAGTTTTTTAAAATATTTAGAAATCCTTCAGCCCACAATAAATTTTAATAATCTTAAATTTAAATAAAAGGCCCCTGTGCCAAAGGCGCTAAAATTAATAGTGCACCATATTTTCTTGTTTTCAGTATTGTATTACAATTGTCTGTCTATATAATTTTATTTTCAGGACCATTCAAGGGGACTCCTCTGCTTTTCTTGTGTTTCTTTGATAAATCTTAACCAGACTTAGTCCTCACTCTTGGGCTACATGTTACATACATGTATACATTAGTTGCTGACCCACAAGGGATTTTTTTTTCTACATTTTTGCTTTCTGAGCCTTTCTCATTAAAGAAATCAGCACTTCCTTATCTTCTGCTGTACTTTAATCATAATGTATACCTTTAGTTCTGTTAAGGATTCTGCAATGGCTTGATGACAAGAAGTCTGTTCATTTACTAGTTGTATTGTTTTTCCCATCAAAGACTCAAACTCCTTTCGTTGTTCACTAAGCTGAGATGAATGAATCACAACAAGAAGTAAACCTTCAACCTATAACACAAAGTAGAAATAACAAGTTACACAATGTCACTGCTTGTTGCAATACAATAAAAAAAATATCTTGGGCTATTCAGAAGTTTACAAGATATAATCCTTTGATTCATTTTCCATGTAAGTTTGGTTCATGCAGGCCTATGGAGTCTTGGTAATGGACCTAGGTCAAATCCCATACCCAAAGTAATCTAGTTAGAATAATCTAATTGTGTCTCCAGACAAGCCATCACCACAGTATGAATACATCTCATATACTTGCAATGTAGCAAATTGGAGTGGATGCACTCGATCAGAAATGATTTTGAAGAATACAAAAGGGGTTATGCTGAAAATAACTATCAAATTAATCAAAACAAACCTTTTTGAGACTGTTTATGCCTTTCATCCCGAAAAATAACCCATTCAAAGACAAAAATTCAACAGATCTACTCAACGTCTTTTTCTTGCTTCAAATTTACATGCTATGTTTACATTTGGAACCCTGGATTATTCATAGTAATTGAACTGAGTACATGTAAGAGTTATCGCCCATGTTTATTTTGCAACATTGCAAATTCACAGAATGAATTCTCTCATTTAACGACAATATCATTTTAACGATAGAATGTTCTATCTAAAAGTAATCTATTAACAAGTCACCAAGCCTTTAGATTAAAATTCTAAATAAAGTGCCATGCCACAGCATGATACGCCCATCAAAAAATTACAATTATCTTCAACAGTTTAGAGTGCAAGAAAATCAAGTCAAGATTTCCATGATTTTTCCATTCCTTAAAATATCTGTTTATCCATCCCGTGGTGTAGGTATTAATTATAACAAATATCACATCAATGATAGATTTCTATACTGATTGTGTTAGACAATTGTCAAATGCCCATCATTTTAAACAATATCAAACAAGCTAATTCAGAGAATTTGTGTCCCCTGCTTAGGGAAAAAGAGACCATGTGCAGTTCAGGGGTGGGGGTTGGATCCCCCCTAATTGAATTTGTAAAATTATTAAATGTATACATGTACACTGAAGCAAATAAAAAATGCCAAATGAATATGGATATAGATTGAAATAAAAAAAGCCAAATGAATATGGATATAGATTTGATTTCTTGTTCTTTATTCTTTTTATAGAAAATATTTATCACACTGTAATGATGATTTTATAAGTTTGTACAAGCCAGACATCATATCTTTTTCATATCACATGATGCAGAATACTATCATTTAGTGAAAAAAAAAAGTATTTAAAAAAAAAAGAAGAAGAAAATGGATCATCAAGGATTCAATCCCGGGACCTCTCGCATGCTAAGTGAGAGACATACCACTACACCAATATTTTTTAATATTTTTATATTGTATATTTTTAATGCAACAGGCTGACCCATTTGCCCATTTCCCAAGGGATATAGATAACACCTGCTTGATCAGAGATTCTCTACCAGTTAGCTCTTCACACTAATCTCATTAATTTCTCTCTAATTTGACATGTAATTTTCTGTTATCAAAATTCTTCTTGACCAGTGTCTGATAATAACACTCATGGGAAAGGTGGAATTTCTCTAACATATATGACTGCTGTCACGAGAAAAGGGCCCTTAAGGTCAAATATTCAGAAATTGACTTTTTGGTAAATTTTGATAGCTGGACTCTTTTTGAATGCAAATATACATAAATTTTGAAAATATTGCATTTTTTCAGTATTTTATAAGCATTTTAGTAAGGTGCGCCAAAACAACTTTGATGTTACTCACTGAATATGTAATGACGCCTCCTGCGTCTAATTCAATTTCCAAAAATTCTTAAAATTACATATTATTTAAATAACCTCAATCATTCTGAGGATTATAAACTTAAGAAAATATTTATTTTTTTCTTCCAAGCGACTAGTATATGTAGCTTTTCCTAAGTGATTTCATATGTTATTACCATTTTCCTACTATTTAGAGCAGATCTAGTAATTTCGTTAAGGTGGTGTGGGTCTAGACAGAATCTAGGAACGGTTTATAATGTATTCAAGAGGGAAAATAATATTGTTTAAATCTATGAAATTATTTTTTTATATAAAATAATCTAGCTCTATTTATAAAATATATAAAGCATTTGTACCATTTAAACATTAGGAGAGAGAGAGAGAGATCCCAGAACATTGCGCGCTAAAGGGGCATCCCCTCGGGAAAAAAAAGCACATCGATCCCGTTATTTTTTTCAAAGTATAATTTTTGGTTATTACTCAGCATTCATTCACAAACTTACATGCGCGTAACATTATTACCTATAACTGTTATGATAGGATAGACACACATGCATTTTCTGCATCACCAAAAAATTCAAATGAGAAATAACTTCAGATACGCCAATTAAGGATGTACAACACACCTACCCCAAAAAATTCCTGTCGTTTAATTTTCGTTATTTTTGTATAATTAGTACATGACTATATCTACTGCATATATGCACATTTTGGACAAAATCGTTCGAGTGATTTTTGGACAGGAACTTCAAAAGTTACCCCCCTTTAGTTGTTTACAAGGAGAGAAAATTTTTAATCAATGAACTACTTAAACCTTGATTTTAAAAAAAGCCAGGTTAGATATAAATGTCAAATTTCATTGGCTTATACCTTTAACCATTTAACACAAAAACATAGTCATCTTTTTGATGTACATATCATCAAAATAATTTTTAAAAACCTTAAACTGAAAAACTTTTAATTATTCAAGCCTTGAAAATTGCGTATTTTTCAAATTCAAAATTTTTTTGTGAAAAAACCTGTTGTTTAATTTTGGTAAAAAACTTTCTTTAGGTAGCTGGTAGTAAAAATAATCTTCATAATTTTTTGTATAATTTTTGTACGACCAGTTTTGATTTAATAGCGGAAAATTACCCCCTCCCCCTTTCTCAATAAATCACGTTCCCGCGCGCCTTTCAGATGGGGTCCGATCACTTTGTTATATGAATCTACAAATACACATTAAAAAAAATTAAATTGGAATATTGCTTTTGCTTCAAAAATATATTAACTTACAAATTTAAAAGTTCTCATATGTAAAGCGTATTCAAATGTAGATTTTTAGGCAATTTTTGAATACCCCTATCACCCCCACCCCTTCCTTTTTTTGCGTCGCAGATCATTAGCGTTTGACGAAACGTCGTTTACAGTGCAAATTATACTGGTATTTCGTCATTTGAATCCCGGAGGTCTGCATTAGTTTAAAAATTCATGAATGCAGAATAAATATTGACTACTCTTTTTCTATGTATCAGGAAAAAATTACTGAAGGATTTTAGTGTTTAGTCCATGTATGTATGCGTAATGCATTCCATATCACATGAAACCTGGATATGAATTCAAGTTTTGTTGAACTTGAATATGTTGATTTTTAATTCTATTTCTTTAATTTTATTCATTAAAAAAGGGTGTATTTTCAACTCTCCTGTGATATAAATGGAATAATTGTAGTTTCTTTCATGTCATTATTTCAAACGAGACAGTATGTGGCCGTGGGGATACATCGACATTTGCATAGATGTACACCCCTCATGATATTGTACGCATTTCTTTCAATGTCGTCGCTTCTAAAGTTAAAATGAAAATTCCGTATTCGTCCACATTAACTTCAAAATATCAAACATTAAACTCTTCATCTATTTCAATTTATATCAAATCGCACTTTGATATTTTTAAAAATCCTATAGGCTACGTTTTGTTTTGATTCGAGGAAATGCGAACCGACATTGTTGACAGAAAGTAAAACGATTTGTTGCAATAAGATATTCATAAATGCAGATAATTTCAGTACAAGTGGACAATTCTTTTCAATTCTATACGTACATTGTGTATATGAGGTCATAGTATTCAATTCTCGTTTATCAGGTCTTGCTGTAAATGTATCAAAAAACCGTGAATAAAGGGAGGAAAATAAACATCTCCTACATTTTCAGAGTTGTTCCTCTTTGATCAGTAAGGGTCTGAGAACAACATCGATTTTACATTGTAAAAAGTTTTTTTTGTCTATTTATTGTTTTTTTATTTAATTAAAGAAGAAAAACAATATTTATATCGTAAATGCACAAATTGTAATGAAGACCATTAATCGATGTTATATAGCCAATTGTACATAATGAGAATTTCGGCAATGTAAAAAAAAATTTTCAGAATAAAAAAAATGCTATTTGATCAAAAATACAATTTATTGTATATGAAATGAAATGAAATAAACATTAAGGAATGGTATTTTATGTCTTGCTTTTTACGGAGTTTAATCGGGTTAATTAAAAAATACTTATTGATTGAGTATGGTACGCACAATCACAGCCAAGCCCCATATCCCAATTTTCTTTCATGATTGATATACATCGGGATCGTTTTACTCGTCGTTTTGACGCTTTATTTTTGACGTAAAATTTGAAGTCATGTCAAACGTTCAATTGAAATCGCAAGAGTTATCTCCCCCAGTGTGTTCTCTTTATATGTAAACTTGTTTTTAAAAATGTTTATTCCGTTTATAAAAATTCATGAATTAAAAAAAATATATGTTTGCCACCTCCATGCAAGCAGGTTTTTTTTTATTTTATTTTTTTGATATATTATTAACCAGTCTCTGCTTCCTTTGTATTATAGCAAAGGAAGAGAAAAGTACTTAAGCAGTTGAAATTGATTTTCAACAGCAATAAACAGAATAATGATCCTTGATTAAGTCTCTTTATGTTCTTAGTGCAGTCTAATTGCATGCCAAATTTATATTATAATCAGACTAAAATTGTATTTGGAGTATTTTGAAAGAATTTCACAGAAATTTCTATTTTTAGTAACCACGGCAACACCGTTTCAAAAACTGATGCACAGAATAATGTATCTCATCCAAGTTATATTTAAATCAAACTAAAACTGTTTTGAAAGAATTTCACAGAAAATATAACCACGCAACACCGTTCATCGAAATCAAAAACCGATAACATTGCTGAGAAATATTGAAATCACACCAAAACTACTTTGACAGAAATTTCTATTTTTAGGGCAACACCGATTATGAATTATGTATTGTAGTTATTTTGCCAAGTTATATTGAAATCAGACCAAAACTGTAAATTTTTGAAAATTGTTTACAGACAGACGGACAGACAGACAGACAGACAGACAGACGGACGACAGACGCATTACTATCGCATAAGCTCTTCTGGTCTCTGACCAGTAGAGCTTGCACAGTTTGAAATAGTCTACTTGTGTGCCAAATTATTTGTAATCGGACCAAAATTGTAGGAGGAGTAGCATTTTAAAAGAATTTCTCTTTCCATGGCAACACCGTTCATCGAAAGCGGAAACCAATGCACAGAATTACGTATCTTAGTGTAGTCTACTTGTGTGCCAAAAAAATTAGACCAAAACTGTAGGAGGAGTAGCATTTATTAACAGAAATTTCTATTTTTAGTAACCACGGCAACACCGTTAAAAATCAAAAACCCATGCACAGAATTATGTATCTTAGTGTAGTCTACTTGTGTGCCAAGTAATATTGAAATTGCCAAAACTGTGGGAGGAGTAGCATTTCGAGAATTTCACAGAAATTTCTATTTTTAAACCACGGCAACACCATTCATCGAAATCAAAAACCGATGCAAAGAATTATGTATCTTAGTGTAGTCTACTTGTGTCCCAAGTAATATTGAAATTGGACCAAAACTGTAGGCGGAGTAGCATTTCGAAAGAATTTCACAGAAATTTCTATTTTTAGTAACCACGGCAACACCGTTCATCGAAATCAAAAACTGATGCACAGAATTATGTCTCTTAGTGTTTTTGTGTGCCAAGTAATACTGAAATCGGACAAAAACTGTAGGAGGAGTAGCATTTCGCACAGAAATTTCTATTTTTAGTAACCACGGCAACACCATTCTTCGAAATCATAAACCGATGCAAAAAATTATGTATCTTGGTGTAGTCTACTTGTGTGCCAGGTTATATTGAAATCAGACCAAAACTGTAGGAGGAGTAGCATTTTAAAAAATTGTTTACAGACAGACAGACAGACAGACGGACAGACAGACGGACGGACGACGAATATATCGCATAAGCTCTTCTGGCAAGTAGAGCTAAAAATGATTAAAGCACTAAGTTTCCATTGTTTGTTCAAATAGTTTTTCTTCGCCTGTCTTACAGTTATGGAAAAACACAATAAAGAGGCTAATAATAATGTGAAAGGATTATCAAATGCTTTATATACTGTACCCAAAACTGAAACTTTATTTCAACTTCTTATTTTTTGTAAGTAAATCAAAATTAAAATTGACATTCACATATTTCTGCACATTACTTTTTTTTTCTTTTAATTTTTAATTTTGTTTCACTTGAACATAACATTTGTATTTTTCTTTCAAGGACCACTACTATGATATAAACTAAAAAAAAAGAATTATGTATATTGCATAATTTAATCAAAGAGATGGTTAATTGTACTGTTCTTGTCTCTTTTTATATATATAAAACCTAAACGGTGCCCGATTTTTCTGTGCGAAATTACAGTTCAGTCACAATTTTGACGAAATCTATTTGAAACTGGAACTGAATGAATATATTTTTACGCAGAAAAGGCATGCCCATAGGAATCAACTTCAGTTGTTTGTTTTTGGTTTTTTTTTGGTGGGGGGCATATTTTTTCAGTTGGGGACACTTTCAACAACCAAATATTCCTTGACAAGCAACAGAAAGTTTCTACGGTCAGGAAAGGTCACCTATTCGGCAAACCATTTTTTCCTTGTTATTATTTCAAAACATACTACTTTCTCGATATCTCAAAATTAAAAGAAATATGACTCGTTTTTCATTATATAAAGGAGGGGGGTGCCCAAACTTGAAAATCCAACTTCGGCGGGGGGGTGGAGTAGGTTCAGACTTTTTGGGTAGGTTCAGACTTTATTCATTACTAAATTTCCTCTATGAACGGGAGCATTGTCATCCATAAATACATACTCATTATCTGGAAAATGTCTGGCTAAAATGGGCCAAAGGTTGTTGTCTAATATTTCTATATATTTTCTTGCATTTATGTTACCTTCTACATTAGTTAAAGTTCCTATTCCTCTTAATATACAAACACAAACCCAGATCATGATACTCAGATGTCGTCGAGATGGCGGACACACAAGCTGCACACTGTACTTTTCCTCGTCTTTTCTCCAGATATAAACTTTCTTATTTTTTCCAATTACTATCTGGCTTTCATCAATGAACACCCATTTATTCATCTCATGATGAACAGTCCAATAGACGAATTTCACATTCCTAAGAGTTATCTCCTGTTCTCGGGGTAACGCTCATTTTTCCCACTTTGTCCTTTGTAAGTTACCTGTATATTTTTAATCTTCAAACGTTATCGGACAATTTTGATCTGTACCAGTATTGCCAGAGCATGGGGCAACATGAAAAGCATAGTGAATATATTCTTTCAGATTTTATTTCTAAAATACTGACCCATAAATTTGTAATGTAATTGAAGGAAAACAGTGTCTTACGCCGGTTGACCTCGGATCGACCCGCAAAGGGGAATAACTTTTGTAAATGTGAAAGTCGTCTATTTCTTCTCCTTGCACCATTTACAGCGAGCTTTTTTGTTGGCCTCACGAATAGCGACTTTTTTCTTGGCAACCCCTCGTTTGTATCCCAGCTCTTGAATTTTTTTTTATAGTTCTAGTACAAAATCTATGATTGTTTTCCTCATTTATAATACCTGTGATGTCTTCGTAAGTTCTTTGTCTGTTTTCTTTAACTATACGTGAAAGTTTGTTTTTATCTATGTCTGTAAACACTTTCTTTCTCCCTCTTCCTTGTTGATTTTCTACCTGTCCCGTTTCATCAAACTTTTTAACAATACTAGTACGTATTGCTGATCTAGGGATTCCTAATATTCTCTCTAATTCTGATGTATTTCTGTTCTTTTTATATGATTCTACAACCATACTTCTGACAGACGTATTTAATTCTTTAACCTTGCGACCCATGTTGTTTATACATAAATTAAGCGACAAACAATGTAGCAGACGACAAAAATATTGTGTATACGTCATCAATTTTAGTATTACAACACAAAGATAAAAGTAGAATGGGAAAATCTTATGTCTAAAAATAGCACTCAGCCCTACTTTACCGAACATGCGAGAAAACCTGATACGATTTGCGGGGAAGTGGCGAATAATTATGTCCCTTGACTGTATGTACTTAGTTTATTTAATACCAAAGAGCAGGGAAGAAGATTTTCAAAGAAATAATGCATTTCCCTATATAATCTATTAAACCCTGCTCTAGCATAAGAATCCTGATACTGGGGCCATGAATTTCATAATTTTGGTAGAAGACTCAATGCTGATTACAATCAAGCCAACAGTTTGACTGCTTGATGTCCAGGAGTAAAGAGGAAATTTTCTTAAAGATTGCACTAATTTTAGTGGTTTTTGCCCCATCCTTCAGGCCCCAGGGGGCAAGGACCATAAATTTCACAATTTTTGTTCCCCTTCACCCATGCTTTATGCCAAAATTGGTTGAAATTGGTTGAATGGTTGCAGAGAAGAAGCTGAAAATATTCAAATGTTAACACAAGATGCACTGTGGATGACAACTGACAAAAACAGAGAGCAATAGGTCACCTGAGGTGACCTAAAAATATAAGTAAGATCAAAGTGCATCAAATCTGGTAATATGTAGCATGTATCATCAATGCTTGTTTTTTTGTAGTAACTCTGTAATGAGATCTGCCCTAAAAGTTTAAACCTGCTCAAAAAATATTAACCTTGCTGTTTTTTGTTGAAATAGCATTTACTAAAACCTTGACTGGTACACTGAGACACACACTATAAGCATTGTTCAAACATCTCAATTTATGTAAGGCTTAATTAAAGCACTTGAAATGGAAATCTGTTTCAAAAGCTTTCACATGGGATGCTGACATAAAGGTTATTACATACATGGAAGCCCAACTTTGTTGAGGTGAGCTGAAAATGTCTAAAATGTCTACTGACTAACAAACAGCCACATCATTGAGCATTGCTTGTAGGGTAGAAGTAAGTAATGTGAGTGGTACCTGTATGTGTGACAGAGCAATTGCAGTCTCAGCTGTAGGATCCACTTTTACAACCTGACCAAACCACAGAGGGCAATCTTTAACACTGCCCTTGCCCCCCTCACAGCACACCATCAGTAGGTAGCCATCTTCCTTCAGGCTGCCCAAATCCTGCAGGGAAGCACTTAAGTCTTCTCTGCCACAAGTCACATTCAAAAGTTGCAAAATAAGGTGTCTGTTGTCTGCAATTCTGGATGGAATGAACACTAAATAACCTGGGTCATTGGAGGCAAAGTTTACCTGTAAATCACCATTTAAGACATGAAGAGATTACATCAGTATTTCTTTTATAGGAGTAAGAGGCATGGAGATCACAAAAATCTTCATAGTAGAAGATCATAGTGACATGCTTACAGCTTGCTGTTTGAAGACTGAATTTGTACTTATTATAATTTTTCATTTTGTTTAATTATATTAATCTGGTATACATGAAGTCTGTCACAAGATCATGGTATATTTGTATCACAAGATGAAACAAGAGGCCCATGGGCCACATCGCTCACCTGAGCACTGTGGCTACATGTAGGAAAAGTAGAAATTGGTTTATTATTAAATCAAAAAGTACTCCCATGACCAATCATGGATTTGCTATTATTGAAAAGATGATTTTTGAAGAATTTGCCTATATAATTCTAATATGTAAAACTTTGGTCGGCAATTTTGGCCACGCCCTAGCCCCGGGGGTCTTAATTTGAACAAACTTGAATCTACACTACCTGGGGATGCTTCCATATAAATATGATGAAATATGGCTTTGTCATTCTTGCGAAGAAGATTTTTAAAGAATTTTCTTATATATTTCTACAGTCGTTTGGCCAGTTCCGGATTTTGGCCAGTTCCGAATAATTAGTAATTTAAGGACTGATAATTAATAGATTCAACGGTGTAAAAATAAATTGATTTCTATGGTAAGAAGGCTTATCTATGAGTGTTTGAATTATGTGAAGTTTTGATTTTTTGCCCTCAGTTTGGTTTCGTTATCGTACTTGAAACGGTTGGCATACTTTTACAATGCAACAAATCTGAATCACCGTGACATGTAAGTCTGCAGAAAAACCTCTGTAGATGCATAAATTTTTCACATAAAACAACGTTCCAGGTATCAAAAGTAAGTTTGATATGTACTCTAATATATACTAAGAATTTGTCAAAAATAAATATTTAGAACACTGGAAGATATCGAAATATTTTCGTGTTCTTATTTTACCAGTTCCGAATACCCATTTTAAACGCTATTATAAATTCACTCTTCGATGTTTTTTTCATTGTAAACGTGACTTATTATACCCCCGCTTGAAAAACAGGAAGAAGGGATATAAAGTAATGGGATGTTTGTCCATCCGTCCGTCCGTCCGTCTAGCTGTACGTCCATCTGTCTGATATGCTCTGGTGTATCCATTTCTTATCCGCAACCCCTCTTCTACCACTGAATAAAGTTAAATGACGCTTCACAGAATTTAATGAGTCTTTCACAGAATCTTTGTTTAACAGTGCCAAAGTGCACCTATTTTATTTTTGGATCTGGTACATAATTTGGGCTCCCTGAGAAAAACATAGATACTGCCATTCTTTGTAATATTGAAAGGTATATCCATCTCTTATACGCATTTCCTCCCATACAATTGAATAAGATTTAATAATACTTTCACGTATTCTTTATTGCATTGTGACATTGTGACCTTTTATTTTACTTTTTGATCTGACATTTATTTCGGGTAAAACATGGAGTTTGTCTTAAATAATCATAAAGGAGGCGTGGGGTATCATTAAAATGAGCTCAGTGCCCACAGTACCTCTAGTTTCTCTTCAACCTTTGGAAATACATATAATTTATTGGTAAGCAATTAATTTAACTTTTCTTAGCAGTGCTCCAAGTTGCGACTAAAACGGTCGCATTTGCGACCCAAAAGTTGGTTTTGCGACTAGAAATTAAAACTAAATCGCATTTTCGCGACTGAGAAAATCTGGGCTGGCAACGTCCATCTTTTTATGATCGGGATCGAGATTTATGTTTTCAAGATTCTCTATCAAGACAACGTTTGAAGATAAATACTTTAACACACTTTACAAAGCATCGTATGGACTTAGATCATGTAATGTTATGACAGCATGCTGTAATAGTAGTCTCGTTCAACCAGACGCTCGGCTGTCTCTGTAAATCTCCGACAAGCAGTCTCTCTGCTTGTCGGAGATTTACGGAGACAGCCGAGCGTCTGGTTGAACGAGACTAGCTGTAATAGTTAAGTTAGATAGAACCAGAAACGTATAAACATAACGTTTCTGAGAGAATGGCATCCAAACATCGTAAACTTTCTAGAGTTTCTCTGACTTTGTTATTAGAGCATTTGGTCAATGGCTTGCATATCACAATTAAGTGTTTTGGCGGCATTGATAACGACTTAGTTATGGTTAAGATACGTAGTCGTAAGTAAACAGGTAAACATGATAAACAATTGGCAAAGTCCTGTCTTATCAAGACTGTCAAAGTTTTATTTTATTTTGATTAAACTCTATTTCTAGGATCAGATTACTTGTGTTCTTCAGTGTACATGTACTATACAAAGGGTGGTTGTTTTAATAAAAAATTATCCTTCAACTAGCAAAAGATTTCTAGTCACAGTAATTAATAATCTTTGATTTAATAAAAACATAACACATGTGGAAGTTAGTTCATTGTTTTAATAGTGTTATTTACATGTTTCAATCATGGCGAGTGAAAAATTTGTTTGTGGCGACCAGAAATTCTGAAATGGCGACAAAAAAAAATTTTAGGTCGCCATTTAGCGACCTAAAAGTAAGTGCGACTTGGAGCACTGCTTAGGCATGCCAATTGATAACGTCTGGGACGTATATTTGTTAATTTAGGGTTGAATTGAATAAGAATCTCTGGGGTATCCAGAACCCTTCGGGTTATTCGTAACTGGTAAAATGGACACCTATGGTAAGTTGCGAAATAAATTTTTTTGAGGGAAGTCTGAACTTTTATGAAACAATATTTAATTTCACAAGTCATCGAACTACCTTGACAAAACACACTTGGATTTTGATATAATTCCTAGTATATTTATAGCACCGTCGAATCGGTTTCTTATTCGGAACTAGCCAAATAACTGTATGTAAAACTTTGGTCAGCCATTTTGGTCACGCCCTACCCCCGGGGGTCTTGATTTGAATTAACTTGAATCTACACTACCTGGGGATGCTTAGATATAAATATGATGAATTATGGCTTTGTCATTCTTGAGAAGATTTTTTAAGAATTTTCCTATATATTTCTATGTAAAACTTTGTTCGGCCATTTTGGCCACGCCCTACCCCCAGGGGTCATGATTTGAACAAATTTGAATCTACACTACCTAGGATTTGCTTCCATATAAATATGAATTATGGCTTTGCTCATTCTTAGAAGAAGATTTTTAAGAATTTTCCTATATATTTCTATGTAAAATTTTGTTTTTGGTGAAATTGGCCTCTGCCCTACCCCTGGGGGTCATGATTTGAACAAACTTGAGTCTACACTACCTGGGGGATGCTTCCATAAATATGATGAAATATGTCTTTTGTCACTCCTTGAGAAGAAGATTTTTAAAGAATTCTCCTATATATTTTGATGTAAAACTTTGGTCGGCCATTTTGGCCACGCCCTACGCCAGGGTCATGATTTGAACAAACTTAAATCTACACTACCCCAGGAGGATGCTTCCAAATAAGTTTCAGCTTTCCTGGCACAGTGGTTTTTGAGAAGAAGATTTTTAAAACATGCCATCAAATTTTTATCAATTTGCAATGATCTCCCCTTGGGGAGTGGCCCTTCATTTGAACAAACTTGAATCCCCTTCACCCAAGGATGCTTTGGGCAAGTTTGGTTGAAATTGGCTAAGCGGTTGGGTCTAAGAAGTCGAAAAGTTTTACAGACAGAGAGACAAGACAATGGACAGCTAGACAGATATCGTTGGAATGTGATCAGAAAAGCTCACTTGAGCCTTCGACTCAGGTGAGCTAAAAACTGTACCTTGTTTTTTTTTTTTGCACCATTAGAAACTAATAGAAAACAAGAGGCCCAGGGGCCACATCACACACATGAGCACTTTGGCTATGAAAAAGCAGAAAATTAATCGATATAGAATTGAAAAGTATAAATATGACCAATAAACAGATTTGCTATAATTTGAGAGAAGATTTTAAAAGATTTTTTTATATACTAATCCAACTTTTATTTGCGAGCGAGAAATTTTTGTGAATTTTGCGAGAGCCTCGTGATCACGAATATTTCTTGCCGCGAATGGGTCCTTAAAGCCTCAATGTCTATCAACAACAGATCCAACAAGAGGCCCATGGGCCAGCATCGCTCACCTGAGAAGCTTTGACCATTCTGTTCTTTACCAGATTTCCCCTTGTAATACATAAAGCATCCCC